CACGCTCGTATCAAAACGATCCAACATTCGAATCACAAGTTGGTGCAGATCAGATCCCGGTCCTGGAGGTTCCAGACATCCTGCAGGTGTTAGTTGTTTCTCTGCTCCAACGCACCTGCAGCCTGGTAATCGCTCATTCATTCAAATCAGGTGAGCTGGAGCAGAGGAACAAGTAAAACACGCAGGACCAGATTTGCCCACCCCTGGTGTAGACTCTCCAGGATGTGACAGGTTTTGGACAAACCCTCAATGTAAAAATAAAAGTGAATAAGCAACGATAGAGAAAATGTGGGGGTTGAACCCATAAAGCCTCTCCATCTGCACAGCGTTATGACACACCCAGAAATCAGAGACGAGAGCGCCTCAGACAGCTCGAACTGATGACGGCATTCTAACTAATATTTGTTTAATTCATCAGAGAGTCTGGCTTTAACAGCTGATAGTTGTGAAACAACTGAAAGAACCAGATAAGTCCCACATCAATACGTAAACGATCCGTTTAAAGAATCTGACCTGTAGTCAGGAACGGATCTAGAAAAGTATCCAGAGAGTGGCACTCTGAAACAGAACGATACGTGTTGAAGAAGCAACGTTGTCACAATTAGTTGTGTGAAGCGTGACGAGACCGATCAGACTGATGTGATTTAGTGCCACATATTAAATGACCTGAGTTAGATTAAAAAAACCTGATTTGTCACGTTCAGACTGTCATAAAATATGAAACGTTGGTCATAGATGGGCAAAAAAATAATTAAAAAAGGACTTGATCCACTTTTGTCTGCTGAGAGAATGCTATAGCAAGAATGAAATTAAAAACTACTACTTTGATATCTTCAGTTTTGACCAAGCGCCCCACTGGTACTTTTTATTATTCATCCAAATCTATTTCCAATCATTTAGGAAGCTTTTGATCTTTCCATCGTTGTTCCACTTAAAGATAATTCACCCAACCTCCTCTGAGTAAAAGTACTGTTTATGTAAGCGTTCTTCAAGGACAGAACAAGGTTACATCCTATAAAAGTCAGAAATGGAGGATTTATTTTTCCCGCCACATTCCTCTGCACAACTGGACCTGGAGGATATGAAACAATCAGGGGGATAGCAGGATGCATATCGCTCGCCACATTTCATGCTAAAAAAAAAAATCATCTTATTGTTGTCCATTGTGTTGAGCTCAAAGTATGTGTTGAGGACAAATCTCAGCAACAACCACATCAAATTATAGCTCAAAATCAATAAAAGTGGCCAAGTTTCAGCCATATTTGTAATGTCAGTTGGCTGTGGCGGCCATCTTGAAAGCAAAAGGTAATCAGTTGTGGACGTACATTTAATGATGGCTTTCTGGAAGCTGATTTAAGATCAGTTTATCAATTCATTTTATATTCTTCTGACAGGTGAAAACATTATGGACTGATGACAACACACAACTCACATTCTATAATAGAATTGTCAACTGAGTCTGAATCTCTGCAATTAGAAATCAAGCTTACAAATCACCTTTCAGTAACGGTTGTTGTTGCATATAAACCTCCAAGTGTTAATTCAACTAAATATTTAGCGCAGCACACTGACATTATAAAAGGCATAAAATCAAAAGAGTTTGTGATTCTTGGTGATATCAATATGAATTGGGCTGATAAAACTTCCAAAGGCCTGAAAGCAATGTCTATAAACTTAGGGCTTCAACAGTTAATTAAAGTACCAACAAGATTTGGCAAGACATGCAATTCCATTTTGGATCTTATTTTCACAAATCGATACTCCATATATGACATATCTAGAGTTATAAATACTTAAATCTAGGATCATTCACTTATTTATGTCATTAGAAAAAACCTTAACAAACCTACAGGTCGTGCATAATTTCATTAAAAGGATTCCAATATCAAAGTTACCCATGTTTCATGCTGAGATTGAGAATACTAACTGGAATGAGGGTATTTCTCTGTCAAATACAAATCGCGTTTTGTCAAATTTTTATGATAARTTGGAGACAATACAGGAAAAATATATTTCAACTTGTAAAGTTCCAGTCCGGAAAAATAAAATTCCATGGATGAATGCCTCTATAATACATCTCCTAAAGTTGAAAGCTTCTTCAATGAAAACTTATAGAATATCAAAAACTTCTGAAAATCGGTCTCGTTTAAACAGTTACCGAAATAAATGTGTTTATGAATTACGCAAAGCCAAACAACAATATTTTAAAAATCAAATTATTTCAGCCAGTAAGAATCCAAAAATATTATGGGAAACGATTAAGTCAGTGACAGGTGAAAGTAACAATAAAACATTTAATAACAATTCACAAATCTCAGTAAATGGACTTCTTGTTTCTGATCATGAAAATATTGCTAACTTATTTAATGAAKATTTTATTTCTTCAGTAAGGACATCATTACCGGGACAAGCTAATAGTTTAAAGTTATTTAAATATCCTGACACTTCAAAGCAATTTTCATTTTCTGAAATTTCACAGAGGGATGTTTTGAATACACTCCAATCTCTAAATGGCTCACATGCATTTGACAAATACAAGATAAATTTGGATTTCTTGAAAATGCATGCCAACACTTTTTTACCATTGTTTCATCATTTGCTTAATTTATGTATTGTGCAGTCTATTTTCCCTGATGCCTGGAAGTTTGCTCAGATTACTCCCATTTTTAAATCTGGTGATCCAACAGAAGTTTCAAACTATCGGCCAATTTCTGTTCTCTGTGCATTGCTGCCCAAATCAAATTCTGGAAGTGGCCATTCAACTAGATCTGTTACAAAAGGACAACTGATATTACCAACTTTTAAAAACTGTTACGGCCAGAGGTCTTTCTTCTATGTTTATACTAAAGCATGGAATGACATTCCTCAAAACATATAGTCCATTTCAAAACTACAGCCCTTTAAGAAGAATCTTGTCTGCCATCTGCTGGACACTTTTTGTTGTGCTCATATTTAGACRTCCTRTTTTGCAAATGCTGCCTTYYTGAAATTTGGTATGCTTGTTTGTCTTTGTGTCTATGGTGTATAATGATGTGATTGTGATGCTGTAATTCTGAGAGTTTTATGTGCTGCAGAACAGGAACCTGCTGTAAAACAGCAATTATGCTGAGTCAGGCTTGCTTTTTAATAATATTTTCCTGTTAAATAGATAAATCAAATCAACAACAAAAGGCATTAATCATCCCTTCAAAGATGTCAAATCGTGCGAGAGCGATCGCCGCACAACCAGGTCCAAAGCAAGTTCAGCACAAACAGTCAAACTGAGCGCGCCCCATTTTACCGCCACAAACAAACCGCCCAGAGAACCACGAAAGCACACGCCCCCCCCGAGCCGCGCTGCAGCCTCTGCAGCTCGTCGGCCGATAAGCTCATTTCATGACAGCAGACAGGAAGTGATACGACAGGCAGACTGAAAGAGCTGCAGAGTCAAACGTCTGTGGCACGTCACTAACGGACAGGCGGTGTTGTGACTCCGTATGATGCTCTCATCAGCTGAGGTCGGTCTGTCCTGAAAATAAAAACCGAGATTCGTCATGCAAATGCAATTCCAGCAGCCTTTGTGACTAAATGGGAAAAATGAAACCAAAAGCTGAAAATGAAAGCAGCAAAAAAAGTGCCTGGAATGTTTTTTAGTAAATGAATGAACATTTTAGAGTACTGCTAAAGTGTTATAATATTTCTGCCTGTGTTTGCTAGCAAAATATCTCATGAAACACTGGATGTATTATAATGAAACTCAGAAAGTGATCTCTGCATGCAGATCATTAACATTTGGAGCAACACAAAAAATAACTATTTTGCAACATATAAGCTCAAATTTGTCGCGGTCGGAGCTAAAATACATCCCCAACACATACTAGTACTACACCTTGTGCAATGTTTTAAATGAAATTCTTGGCACCGACTATTGGCGTCAACTCAGTCTGTCTGTTAGCAAAACATAACATGATCCATCAGTGAAACTCTCAAAAAGTTAATATTTAGATGTACATTTGGAACCTAATTTGTGATGTCTGCCACAGCAAACACAAAAATGGCTATAGCTCTGCCRATTTTACACCTATCAAGCTAAAATTTGGTGTAATAACAAAGTCAACACTGAAATCTCACAATATGACATCCATCCCTCCCTATCATGAAATGCTCTTCCTTCAAGGAATGACTAGGCCTTTTATTTAATAAAACAATACTGCTGTAAACTATAAAAACACGGGTTAGCTGGACTTGAAACCATATAATGGTTTTATTTTAAACTGGAATCTGTTACACATTAACTTCAACCTTAATAATAAAAAACAACATTATCCCTGAGTTCAGGTTTACCTTCACTGACAAACAGGAAACGGAGCTTGTTCAGTCACTTTTCTTAAAACATGGGTCGGGTATGTGCTGTCAAAACAGTACGTAATCCAATACTGCACAAAGACAACAGAAGAATGTTGTGACAAAAAGACAGACTCGACAGTATTTGAGATCTTGTTCTCAGGAGAGGCAGTGACATGGCAGCTATAGCCTAAAAAACAATACAGACTCTTGACTCTRTATGTGCTGAAACAGACAGCTTCCTACAAATCAAACCCTGACAGCTCCCAACAGATCAAACCCCGAAAAAAAAAAAATCACAATTTCCCTTTACAAGCTTGTGTTGTGTACACAGTATAAACCAGATGCTAATATTGCTACATAGCGTTTTTGGCGCTACGCTACATTGCTGCTACCTGTAACTACTACTATTTGTTTTTTAAATTAGATGAAACGTTTATTTAAGGCTCCAGTAGAGTCTAAGTTACAAAAAACAAAAAGCTTTAGCGGTTAAAGAGGTCGCGAACAGCCGTCGTGCAGCTGGGTTGAGAGGGGCGCTGTTGTAGCTCCTTTAGCTAACGAAGCTAATGCTAACAACCAGACCAATCAAACAGAAACTCTTCGAGGTTTAAAAGAGCAAAACATCCAAATAAATGCGATAGTGCTGCGTACACGAAAGATATAGATWTTTCTTTTACCTGCAATTCGGCTCGCTCCACTTCCCATTGCGCCCTTTCCACTTCGAAACGGGCCCATTCGTGCTGCAGGAAGTGCAAGATCCCCGGGATGCTGTACTGCGCTCGAGCCGCCTCCCCAGCGTCGCCATCGGGCAGCGGCCCCTTCCCACCRCCGGCTAACACCGAGTTATTATTGTTGTTAAAGAACACGCCGGGCCCTGCCTGTTCGTCCATGGCCGGGCTCGGTGGAAACGCGCTCTCCGTCACCTTGCTTACTTGCTACCAACAAAGTGTAAAAAAAATATAATAATTAAAAAATAAACTACAGACGGTACTCCATCTCCACTGCTCGAGGAATGAACTCACTTCTGACAGCTAGCTGTCATCGCATGACGTCAACATCACAAACCACGCCCATGTTTTTTTTTTCTTTTTGTAGGAGGCGTTTGATTTACTCACCGGACCGCCCCGGAAGAAGAAAACGCACACAAAAAATGGTTGTACCTGTCAATTTTAAGGATATTTACCTGCACTAAGCGTTTGCACAGTCTTTGTTTAAAATTGTGCCAATAACTATTTCGTATTAAATTCTGTCTGTCTGTTGGCAAAATATCCCATGAACCCATTGGGTGGGTTTTAATGAGATTTTCAGGAAACAGTAAYTGGACATACCTCTACAACTRATTAACTTTTGAAGCCAATTCTATTCAATATGTCAGACACAGCCAACCAATTTTACAAAACACAAAGAGGCTAAAATCTAGCTAATTCTAAGGATATTGTGCTAAAATTTGGTGTATTCGTAAATTATTTCCAAACGCATAGTCCAAGTGTGCTGGAGTTGCCACTGTTTCTGTTAGCAAAATATCACTATCTACATTAAATAAATCCCATTGAAAGAAATCATTTACAAAACACATTTCTTTTAAGTACAAATCAGCAGTTGGTAAATATGTAAAAATAAAATCAAAATGTACAAAATAAATCTTAGTC